TTTAACGGATGAAATGAAATTTTCTCAACTCTTTTTGTCCAAGATTGTAGCTATGAATTACAAATTATGCACGAGTCACAGTTGTTGCTAATTAAGTCTGCAAGATTTTTACGCCCTATAACATTTTTAAAGGACTGGAGGCTCGGCCTTTCTTTCACGCGGCACCCATGTTGACTGGAACAACAGATTTGCTCACGTGGCCACGCATTCAAGCGGTTCAGCAAGAGGTGACACGTGATTAAACAAAGGATTTGCGCTGAGTGACAAATGTCCATTTGGTTCTTTTGCAGGAGTCTTTGAATGAATGGACTTACATGACGGGATTCCTGTGTTCTCTAGGAGTGGTGTGCCTGACAACACACCAGACAATCAGGTTAGGAAAAAGCCTTTGTAATTCCCTTGTTAGTGCTAATTTTTCTGTCTTTTTCCGTACGCTATGTCCTAAATAGGTCCTCTAAAACAGTACCACAATGCACTGCAAAGCCAACTAGACACAGTTTATGACTCGACCTCAGAAGGGCTAATGAGATGCTGTTACACTGATTTGTGCCGCAGTCATGAAACCATGCAACTTGAGTGTTGTGTGTAGCAATAGACCAAATGCAAAACCTGCACCGATGTGAGGCTTAAGTTGTGAACAAAGGGATCTGGCACGATTCGTGACTTTTGTATCACGCCAGATTGCTTTGAATCACGCCAGATCCCTTTGTCCACAACATAAGCTTCACATCGGTGTGAGTTTTGCATTTGGTCTATAATAGCTTTAATAGACCCCTTGCATGTGACGTCAAAGCAGCTCCATTTGGGGGACAAAATAAGAGAATTCCAATCTCCTGAAAATTGGAAACCTATTGTTACGTCCTCCAAATTGAGCTGCATTCCGACGTGTTGCAAGAGGTCTATACAAAATGTATCCGTGCGAGTGCAACCGAGAGTGTCGTAAATGGCAATTAGGAATATCGTTATCATATTTTGATTTTTTCCCCCTTCGTTTCTTAGGAGATACAGCCGTGCATTACCATCAGCCGTACCGTCTGGCAGCACCGACACCCAGGGGAAAGACAACTCAAACGTAGCAAGGTCAGTGAACACGAGCTATCTATACTAGACTTGCGTCTGCTAATGCGCCACCTCTCATCACTGCGGTGGTGCCTGCCACAAGTCTATGGCTGCTTATTTACGTGTGTCTTGCTTCGTTCTTGTTTTTCTTTATCCATTTTAAAAATCGTTTCTTTATCTCTGTAGATTTCTCAAAGACATGCTTAGCCTTCTCGTCTGCAGTAACGAAAAACACGGAGCCAAGGTTTGTGAATTTGTGTGAATTTTCATACTCCTACAGCAGTTTTTGTTATTTTTGTTTTGTTTAATTAAATTTGAGCATGGACCATGGACCCAATGAGCGCTTCGCAAAGCTTGCAATAACTATAAACTCGGCATAATCTGCATTAATTTGTTTGTAGGTTTTTTTCTGTGCAATTACCGATCAGCGTAAAATATATTACATTTACAGACGCTGCATTTGTCATGGGGTTCCTGACTCGTACCATCACATTGAATCGCTTAATGATGATTTTACCCTGGCTATTTGGTTTTTCGTTGGTAAATAGTGACCCATGTAAACTGGACTCTTTTCCCTGAACAAGTTTAAAGTTGCGCGCAGCACTTGCACTTTTTGTTCATCTGAGTCTTATGAGTTAAGCTTCATTAACTTAGACTCACTCCAGGTTTTTGTTGATCCAGATACGCAAGACTGTAAACGAGCTGATCGGAACACAACTGAGTTCAACGTTGTACCCAATCCTATTTGAAGAAATCAAGAATGTCTTGAAGAAGTTTTTCAATGCTGGTGGTCAGGTGAGATTTTTAAAATATATTTTCACTATGGGAATTTGCTCACGAAGCCCTAGGCACGAAGGGAATAAGATGCTCAAATTCCATGGTGAGAATAGTTGAGGTAACAACTATCTTTCGTGTAGTTAAGGGTTATAAAGGAATCTTGTTTTGTTTGTTTACAGGCCATTTTACAGGACACTAATACATTGTTCGTGGATCAGGTAAGCTGTCATAATAATGATGCACTCCTAAACCAGCACAATCACCAACACAAACATCATCGTTATTGCGCAATTGATTGTATTATCGTATGGAATTTGTGCAATACAAGTAATAAACATGAATTATTATTATTATTATTATTATTATCAGCATCATCATCATCCTTATCACTCAACCACCACCACCTCTGTCACCATTCACATTATTGCCATTATCAACATCAACATCACCACCACCAGCGCCATCATCATCATCATTATCATCAACATCATCACCGGCAATCAACGGCACTGCCATCGTCATCATCATTATTGACAATGACAACTTCATCATCACCAACAAAAATGACATCAAAAACATCTTGCATCATCAGTAACAAATGACATCACCATCTTTATCATCAACGACAGCAACTAAAGTAACAACAACACCAACTACAACTACAACAGCAATACCAGCACACTACTATGATGCATCTAATCATGACCACAATTCAACATAAAGCATTACTGAGGGGGAAACGATTTTCATTTGATACTATACAAGCATTCTATAGTAACTGACAATATTGATGGTGGTTATAGGTGATCACTATCATGAGACACATACTGGACAACAAGGGAAAGAAAGAGGGCTTCCAACCTGGAAGTATTGAGGCCATGATACTCACCTTAGTAAGGTAAAGAACACTTTACCATTAATTCCTCGCTTGGTTGCTTTTTTATTGATAATGAATGGCGGTTTCTGTTATTTAATGGTTCATAAACGGTTCATAAACCAAGTTCACCCTGCGGTCGTCACATGTGAATTGAGTTTGTTTGATGTGTTGTTCTCTCCTATGCTACGAGGGTTTTGTCTGGGTTCTCCGGTTTCCTCCCTCCGTAAAAATCAACATGTGAGTTGAGCGTTGTGTGCATAGAACATTAAATAAAGTGGTAGTGCGTGTGAGCGAAAGTGTCCCCAATTAGTGCGAAACGACTAGTAGTAGATTAGTAGAACGACTAGACACTTAAATAAAGATATGTATTTTTATTTATTTATTTATTTTTACCATTTTCCCTTTCATCGTTAGATATGTTCGTAACCTACCACTGAGCTCTCAGTCACTTCAGATTAAGACAAAGCTCTGCAACCTTGTTGATTTGGTAAGACTCCTTTATACAGACTCCCTTGATACATGGTTCTAGTGAAAGAGAAAACCTGTTTTCCTTGCACAAGTTAACAGAAGACTTATACTTTTTTTTCTGTTTGAAGGTAATGACCAGAAGAGAGGAACTGCTCTTCCACCAAGAAATGAAGTTCAGAAACAAACTCGTTGAGTACTTAACCGATTGGGTTCTACACTCCAGTGACACGAGTGAACACATGCCAAAGGATTTGGTCTCATTATCTAGGTAAAATGAAAGACGAAAAGGTTGGCATAAATTTTGGCAAAAGAAAAACAGGGAAATGGAAACAGCGTTGTTAGTAGTGGAGTGATCAGTATTTTTTGAATTTTTTTTAATATCATTGTTGAATTAGTTTGGCCAGTCACTATAGATGCTGTCTTGGTAGTTGTTTGATGTTGTTGTTCAGTATTCTTCCAGATGTAAATTGTTATTTTTTGATTTTTTTTTTAATCATTGTTGAATTAGTTTGGCCAGTCACTTTAGATGCTGTCTTGGTAGTTGTTTGATGTTGTTGTTCAGTATTCTTCCACATGTAAACACAGGAAACCCGGCTATATTTTTTTGCTTCTTTTAGAAAAGTAACTTTGCTCTTTGTGGGTTTCCTGTGTCGTGATCGGTTTCCTATTACATAAGCTGTGATCAGATCTGCCCTGTGATCAGATTGGCGCTGTAAACTGATAGCCGATTAAATTCAAATCAATAACCGTTGGTAATGCACTCTATAGTAAACACTAGAGACTGCTTACTAGAAAGTGCGCTACACACCACAGGCAACCCATACGAAACAAAACACCAACGGTCGCGTACCCTGTGATGTAAATTGTTTCTTTGTGTCTATTAACGACATTAGTTGAACCAATTAAAGCACGCTTTATTATTGTTCAACCAATCAGAATGCTGGAATACGGCACTGTCATGGTTACCTTATGACGTGTCTACAACATACATTTTTCCAAAGTCTGCTCTATTGTCAAGAATAGATTTATTTGCACATCTCCAGTCTTCATATAAACATTTCATTTTTCTTCCTTTTTCTCAGTGAGCTTGATGCTGCTGTGATTCGTGCTATTGCATCCCTGTTGGCCAATCTTCCACTACAGCCGGAAGGTGTAGAAGCTGACATCGTTGAGGCCAAATCCCAGCTCTTTCTAAAGTAAGTGATTTCTAAGACACACCAAATGGGCCAATTTTTGCTCATCGTACCATTGTACAAGTAAGCTATTTTACATACGTCGTGATACGGAAAGATATGTAACCGCCACCCGGTTAGCTCAGTTGGTAAGAGCGTCGGTCTGTTTTGCGGGAGGTCGTGTTTGAAGCCTCGGCCGGACCAACACTCAGGGTCTTAAAATAACTGAGGAGAAGGTGCTGCCTTTGTAATAATATCTTCAAATGGTTAGACCTTCAAGTCTTCTCGGACAAGGACTTTAAACCGTAGGCCCTGTCTCCTAACCCTTCCTAACCTACAGTAAAAATGGGGGACATAAAAGAACCACTGAGGACGTAAAAAGAAACCCTGGCAGTGACCAAACTCAGTGCCTACACTTCATTTTAACCATCTCTCATGCTTGTAAATTGCATAAAGCAATCTGTCATTCACAACTCCATGTAAAGCGCCTTTGATTATATCCACATATTAAAGGGCGCTATATAAATCATAAATCATAATCATAATCATAATCATAATATATACCCCTTGTATGTGACGTCAAAGCAGCTCAATTTAGAGGATGAAACAAAAGAATTTCAATCTCCTGAGATTTGGAAACCTATTGTTTTGCCCTCCAAATCGAGCTACGTTCCGACGTGCTGCAAGGGGTCTATTGTCCAGTCTAGTGTATAAGTATATAACACACTCCACAGTCAATACCACCACATTTAATATCTAGAAGTAGACCTTTCTTATGTTTACAAGTGGGATGCTCATACAGATTGTCTGTCTGTCCAGGTACTTCACCTTATTTATGAATTGTCTGTCTGTCCAGGTACTTCACCTTATTTATGAGTTGTCTGTCTGTCCAGGTACTTCACCTTATTTATGAACCTAATGAGCCGATGTAAAGAACAATACATTGACTCCCAAGGCCGTGAAGGACAGCCATCGCTCTCAGCAGCACATTCCATTCATCAGAGTACCATCCTGGCGATGTCCAATCTACTGAACGCTAACATTGATACAGGGTTAATGTATGCTATAGGTGAGTATAGTATAGATAGACACCATAGCAAATGTATGTAACTGATGTAAGATTTGTCTGTACGTTGTATTCAAGGCCTTGGTTATCATGAGGATCTACAAACGAGAGCAGTTTTCATGGAAGTCTTGACGAAGATCTTACAGCAGGTTAGGTTTATCATAATGACGTTGCTCTTTCGAACTCATTTCCTATTCTTTGTTTGCACGTGACTTCTTCGTGCCAATAGGTCTCCAGCATAATGACGTTTTATACCAACACTTCCAGAATACCTTTTGGTAGCTGTTTTGGTCTGCTAATTAACAAATAGACATCAGTTTTTTGTGTCTGTCCTCTTATTGACGATAAATTGCGTCATCACATTGTCAAAGTAGTGTGGATTCACGAGGCGTAGCCAATAACAAAAACGATAAAAACTTCTCATTTTTAGTGATCAAAACAACCAACGGAAAGAGCGCGCGCTCGTTGACGTCAGCTTTATCTGTCTGTCCTCTTATTGATGATAAAAAATAACCAATAACCAGATTTAAAAAAAGGATTGTGATAGTTTACTGGTGTGAAGCGTCATTAATATTAGGGTTAGGATCTACGCTGGTGATACTTTACACCAAGATTTCTCATCAGCCTCCTTTGTTAATACATACCACCAATATGGCCGCCATGTCTTTGTCTTTTGACTCTTTGGGATTATTGCAAACCATCAACATGTAACGCTGTTACTTCATGGAAAACAGTCCTTTTATAAAATAACTGTTATGAATGACGCTACGCGTCGTGCTTCTCCTAACACTTCTCTCGTGTTCTGCCAACCCCCGCGTGCTTTATGACAGCACACAGCACGCGCGCGCGTTTTCTATTTCTTCAATATAACACCACAATATAGCAATACATATTTAAAGTCTGGGTTTCAATAAGCTGATAAAGACTAAAAAGGTTGTTAAAAACACTGACCACCATATGCTGTCAACCAGAAAAGTCCATCCTGTTGAAAACTTCCGCTTTGATGAGCTTTCCGCACGAGACAGGGAATGACGTCAAGTGCAACCCAGCAATGGGAAGAACTTTCTTATTGAGATAACGACCTAACAAGCAGATTCTATTGTTGTTTAGGGAACAGAATTTGACAATCTAGCAGATACAGTTCTGATGGACCGATTCGATAGACTGGTTGAGTTGGTGACAATGGCTGGTGAGAAGGGCGAATTGCCCATTACTATGGCACTAGCAAGTGTGGTTCCCTCACAACAACTGGTAAGAGTAGTAAAACCTACCCGATGATCTACCCGATAATTGGAAAAGATAACTAGCTAAAAACTTGTGTGAGCTGCGTCGGTGTTTCTAATGAAACTGTAATAATAAAAAGATGAATTATAAATCGTGAAAAGATGAAAAAACGGTTTAAAAGCTCTTTTACTCCGGCGAAGGACTAGCGTCCGAAACGTCAGTTTTTTCATCTCTTCACGGTGTATAATTTACTTATTTATCATTACCCGATAACAAAGTCATATTGTAAGGGGAATTGGGAGGGGTAGGGGGATTCTGCAAGCTCGTAGCCATACTGTTGCCATGCGGTTACCGTACCGCGTAGTTAATCAGTTACGGTTTTTTCCTTGGCCATAGAGGCTTTGCACCATCACGTAATGGCAGCCATGCCAGCAGGCAGGAACAATTGAATCTGATCTAAGCTAATTTACATGAGAATTTAGTTTCCTAGGAGAAAATAACTTGTTGTGCCTCCTGTCATGGCTGTCATGACGTGATTATGCAAAGCCTCTATCCCGAGGTTGAGAATAAATTTGAATGAGTTGGCATTGCAGTGCATCGTGGGACTATCTTATGGGGAAATTTCCAAGATGGCGTCTATTTCTTCCCCTAAAACAGCCCCACAATGCACTGCAATTCCATGTCGACCCAGTCTTTCCTCAACCTCGGAAGGACTAATAAGTGTGATACTACCGTAAAACCGCGGTTATGGGCCCTGGGCTTATGTTCACTTGTGAAGGTATATGATGGGCTTGTGAGGATATTTATCATTTTCACTCATCAAATTTGTTGTTTTTGGTTAGGATGAATTAGCTAAGGTTTTGGTGACTCTGTTTGAAGATAGACACATGCTTCCTCAGCTACTCAAAAACATCTTTTCCCATGAGGTATGTATGGCAATATGTAGGGCGGCAAGGGTCGTCTCGCGGCAAAACGTTGTCCATCCCATCCCTTCCCATCACTTCCCATTGCATCCCTTCCCTTCCCTTCCCATTGCATCCCATCCCATCCATTCCTATCACTTCCCATTGCATTCCATCCCAACCCTTCCCATCCCATCCCATTGCACCCCATCCCATCTTAACCCTTCCCATCCCATCACATCCCATCCCAACCCTTCCTATCCCATCCCAACCCTTCCTATCCCATCCCATCCCAACCCTTCCCTTCCCATCCATCCCATTGTATCCCATCCCAACCCTTCCCATCCCTTCCCATCCCATTCCATTGCATCCCATCCCAACCCTTCCCATCCCATCCTATCCCATTGCATTCCATCCCATCACATCATATCATAGTATTTGGTAATTTTCAAAATTTACATAAAGTAAAAACACCCATTTCTTGTTCCATCTTTTTATCTTTTAGGTTAGTAATGCCGAATCCATGCAGATTTTATTTCGTGGTAACAGCTTGGCCAGCAAAGTCATGACATTTTGTTTCAAGAGTCATGGCAGTAACTACCTGCACACCGTCCTTGGTCCACTAATAGTCGATATGTATAAAGAACAGACAGTATATGAAGTGGATCCTGACAGGTGAGGAAACACTGTATAATAATATAATGTACGTATAACAACAACAACAACAACAACAACAACAATAGTCAATAGGCAAAAAGAACAGACAGTATATGAAGTGGATCCTGACAGGTGAGGAAACACTGTATAATAATATAATATACGTATAACAACAACAACAACAACAACAATAGTCAATGAGCAAAAAGAACAGACAGTATATKAAGTGGATCCTGACAGGTGAGGAAACACTGTATAATAATATAATATACGTATAACAACAACAACAACAACAACAACAGACAGTATATGAAGTGGATCCTGACGGATGAGAGAACACTGAAATGGCTTCCCATTTCATAGTTTCGTGCAATTTCATAGTTTCRAGTTCTCTGTTGCTCAGGGTTAGCCTCGATTTTGTACAGAAATTCATTTGTTCCAGTGAAATACCGTGGAATTTCCAAGTGTTCGTATTGTTGAAGTTTTGCATTCTTTACTTTACCGTTGGTATTTGTCAATATTTCGACACTGATACGAGGCTGACCCTGTATAACTGGGTCTGCAATCAAGGAACACAGTGGTAATTTGGAACTTGAATAAGGGTGCATCGAGCTAATAAGATAGCAGCAAGTGATAAACCAAAGTTTCCCCGCTAATTCAGAAGCAGCTCAAATAAAAAGCCCACGTTGGGTGATGAGATGATAACAGGGTGGGAGGGGAGGGTAGAATATGGGAGGTAGTTATATCTTATTAATGACATCTTTATTCTTCTTTTCAGAATCGCAAAGAAGGACGATCTGGAGAAAAACCAAAGAAATTTGGTCAAACTTGCTCAAGCATTTGTGAATAAAATAACCTCTTCAGCTAACAGGTACGGGAACCCTGTGGAGGGTAGTAACCGGTAATGGCCTGGATACTGATCTCACAAACAAAGCCATTGTAGGCTAAAGTTTAGTAATGTATACTGTCATGAATGGACACTTCTCAGAAGTATGTGGATGCGAGCTGAGACTAATATGGAACATATAAGAAATCAATTTTTTTCCGATGGAATTTGTGGCATTTCTCTTGTATTTTCATGTTAGCCTCGCAATCAAGACATTTTTAAGAAGGTCCATTATAAAAGATCTGTTTTATGAATCCATTTTAGCTTACCCATGACTCTTCGCGGTGTCTGCTGTGTGCTGAAAAAGGTAAGAAGAAGCAAAATATTAAGCTATACAGAAATTTTCTTTATAAAAAGAAAACCAACGTCTCTGAGAATACAGTGTGTGCAACCATGACTCAAAATTCCTTGAGATATGAATAACAATGAAACAGCCGCCATGTTGGTTGATCTAACAAGAGAAGCTTATGAGGAATGCTTTGTTATTGTCAACCAACATGGCGGCTATGACGAAACATGCACATGCTTTATCGTTTTTAAATGAGTTTTTAAACCGTCAGCAGTCATAAATGTTCATTGAATGAGTAGTAGTCTAGCGTGTTGTGATTGGTTGAAAGCGTTCCATGCCGTGACCATGTGCCGTGACCATGTGCCGTGACCATGTGCCGTGACCATGTGCCGTGACCATGTGCCGTGACCAGTCATGCTAATCAACTAAACATGGGTACCTTTTCTTTTTGTTGTGTCAGATCGTACATCAAAGATTTCCTAAAAACAGTCTAGCTGCAGTTGGCAGCGCCATATTCCTACGTTTCATTAACCCTGCAATAAGTAAGTATACCAGGTATATCGAGCTATATATTATGGCTGAGCACCAATGAAAATGAAGCAGGTTTATCGCTGTTGTCATGTTGTTTTGGGTTTTTGTTAAGGTTGGTTTAGAGAAGGTACGTTTTTATTGGGTAAGGGCTTAGGGATTCTCTGTAAACTTTTTAAGTTAACAAGGAAACAGGGATTTGCTGTAAACTTTTTAAAAACGGTTGTAGCCTGCCCTCTTTCATTCAGTAAAAAATTAATGAACCTCCTATTAAGTCAACAAGGAAACAGCTTTCGTCAAAATAAAAACAGTTTAACCCTCAACAAAAATTCACATTTTTACTGATTACCTTCTGTCTGGAGGCCCAGCTCTCACCCAGTCCCCCCCCCCCCCCCCCCCCCCCCCCCCCCCCCCAAGAATATACCTTCCCTTACAAGCGCGCGTTTCTCCCACTAAGTTTAAAGAAAGAATAGTAATGACCTTATAGTGAAAACAATTTTCTATTGCCGTCCTACTAACTTGTTTGTAGCAAAACAAATAGACGCTTTGCCTTCACTTTCTGCAAGTTATACCAACGTTCCTCTTCATGTAGAAATTTCTGCGTTGTGTTTCAGTTTCCCCGCATCTTTTTGGTATCGTGGATGAACCACCGACAGAGAATGTCAGAAGAGGACTGATGATGCTCTCTAAGGTACAGACGTGCTATCATATAGATAAAATGACAGCAGTCTTTTTTTTTAGCAGTCAACAGCTAGTTTTTAAACTAACTTTAAAATATTGATTATCTTTTTACGAAACCTGTTGGGCTCCCTGTGGTCTTTCCAGTAGCTAGGTAAAAAACTTGTTTTCGCTAATCACCACCGAAAAGTACAGCAGTTGCGCAGCTCAACGGGGTCAAACTGTAAGCATGTGAAGGCGCCCGGTGGCAGCCGCTATACAATCCATGTATGACCCCGGAGCACAGCTCTAACCAGTTTGGATTAGGGTTGAAATTCCTTTAAAAATTAGGAATTCCTGAAGCCTCGATTTGATCTGAATTGTTTGGAATTTTAGATCTTGCAAAACTTGGGCAACCATGTTCTGTACATGAAAGAGAAATACATGGAGCCTTTCAATGGATTCTTGGAGGCAAACTTCGACAAAACAAAACGGTAAGCACCACAACGTTTGCTGAAAATTTGCGGGTACAAAAATTTCCGGATACGTGTGGACGGGGCCTTAGTTTCTCTTATGGTTATTTTTCAGATTCTTTGAAAACATATCAGCAGAAATCCCTACCAAGCCAAGCGATGAGAGCACGTATTCATTCCTCAGCGACAGCTGCGTGATAACTCTGCACAGACTATTATGGGATAACGAAGAAAAGATTGGCACCTGTCTTGCTACGAGAAGGTAAGACTACCTTCAAAAACCTTTAAGTTATATCGAAACTTGAAGACAGGGTATGGCTAACTCAGATCGAATCCTAAAACAGCCTCTGGGTTGATCAAAGTCAGGGTACGGCTAACTCACAGGATCAAACCCTGAAACAACCTTTGGGTTGATCTAAGTCAGGGCATGGCTAACTCACAGGATCAAACCCTGAAACAACCTCTGGGCTGATCTAAGTCAGGGCATGGCTAACTCACAGATCAAACCCTGAAACAACCTCTGGGCTTATCAAAGTCAGGGCATGGCTAACTCACAGATCAAACCCTGAAACAACCTCTGGGCTTATCAAAGTCAGGGCATGGCTAACTCACAGATCAAACCCTGAACAACCTCTGGGCTTATTAAAGTCAGGGCATGGCTAACTCACAGATCAAACCCTGAAACAACCTCTGGGCTTATCAAAGTCAGGGCATAGCTAACTCACAGATCGAACCCTGAAACAACCTCTGGGCTGATCAAAGTCAGGGCATAGCTAACTCACAGGATCAAACCCTGAAACAATCTCTAGGCTGATCAAAGTCAGGGCATAACTAACTCACAGATCGAACACTGAAACAACCTCTGGGCTTATCAAAGTCAGGGCATGGCTAACTCACAGATCGAACACTGAAACAACCTCTGGGCTGATCAAAGTCAGGGCATAGCTAACTCACAGATCGAACACTGAAACAACCTCTGGGTTGATCAAAGTCAGGGCACAGCTAACTCACAGATCGAACACTGAAACAATCTGAACCCTGCACGGCCAACTAACAAACTTACTTTATTACCATGTAAAAAACAACAATCCCTGCTCAATCCCTGGTTAATGCCTCGCGGCACAAGAACAACAGAGAACTCGAAACTAGAGTATTCATTTTCCTTTCAGGGAGTACAAAACGTTTGGGCGAAGACCCTTCGAGAAGTTATCTACGCTGCTTGCTCAAGTCGGGCCTCCCGACCAGCAGAAGTTGGCGTCATTCAATAAAAAGTATGTAAAACAATGGAATTAGGGTCTGCTAAAGTGTATTTGCCAAATCTCGAAATTATAAATGGATTATGAATGATTTACTAGAATCGTGAAATAAGGCGAAATTAAAAAGAAGCGAAATATGCGACCTGCGAAATCAACGTGTCGCGCGAAAATTTCTCGTAATACACTGAATCGAAATAAGGCGACCAATTTGAATAACTAATGTTTTACACTGACTAATGACTGACTAGCTTCTTTTACATGTGAAAATGCTTTAATGTTTACACGTAAACACGAGGCTAGTCAGTCGCTAGTCAGTGCAGAACAAAAGTTATTCAAATTGGTCAACATCTTTCGATGCGGTGTATAAGGTAGTCTAAACCTACATTTGTTACTAAAAGAATTTCGTCATCATTGTGCTAATAATACTGGTGATGATTGTAGGTGGCAAGATGGATCGCGATTTGAGGAGTTCATGGCCAGGCATGCTGAAGGAAGCCAAGATGATTTACATATTATTCGATCACAAAACGTCTTCTATCAGGTATCGGCCTTCACCTAATATGCATCGCTTGTCAGGAAATGAAAATAGCAAACTTTAGTTTATATAATGTTGTTGTTTCTGGCCATGGATAAATGGACTACTTCGATGATACGACGGCCATCTTGGATCACAAGGCATTATGGGGCGTCCAGGGGGCAAATAAAGCTTTGCTCCAGTAATGACGTCGATTGATATTAACAGCTTACCACGAGAGAGTACAAAAATATATCAATTAAGACGGCACATCGACCACCTTTACCCATAAAACAAAGACAAACACACGAAACTATATTATGTTTTCTGTCATCTTTGTTTCGGTTTTGCCCCCTAGCAAGATGGCCGTCGTATCGTCGAAGTAGTCCATTGTTTTTATAGGTAAAGTGTCAGTTACATACAGTGATGATGGTGATGGAGACGATGAAGATGGATGTTGATAGATTGTTGTGTGTTTCAGGGAGGCAAGTCCAAGGCAGGCAACCCGGTGTTTTATTATATTGCACGAAGATTCAGGTGAGGTGTTTTTATTTGCCCTCCTTCCAGTTTTCTTTTCTCCTTTTTCTCTTCTTGCTTACATTTTTTCGCGCCTTTTTTTTTTCTCCTCTTTTCTCACTCTTGTATTGAAATACTATTATTATTATCCATCATCGATCATTATTATCATCATCATCAACATCATCATTATCCATCACCACCATTTTCATATAATTATCTTGGTCATCATCACCATCACCATCACCACCATCATTATCATTTATCATGGTCATCATCACCATCACCACCACCATCATCACCACCACCATCATTATCATATATCATGGTCATCACCACTACCATCATCTTCATCATCATCATCATCATACATTATCACCATATCCAAGGTTAATATTTATCGTCGATAGCTTCGTCCAACTGGTTTAAAGGAGGTCAACGTTGTTTCCTAATCTATCATATATTGACAGGGTAAATTCTCTTTTCTTGTTATACCACAGACCAGATCAAATGAATGATGAACTTCTCATATACCACGTGCTTCTTCTACTGGAACCTTTTACCGGCAGGCCCTGGGAACTAGTAGCTGACTTTACACACACTGCGCTTGAGAACAGGTTCAAGGTAAAAACAACGTGTAACTATTTTTGTTCAACGTTTGTGGGTGATCCTGCTGCTTGGAACAAGCCTTTTGTGTTTATATCCTTTTCCCCGGAGACACTAAAGAAAAATAGTCATGGTCCGTCAGTTATCTCTTTACTACGGTTTTCTTTATTCTGTGAACTCTGTGTCTGCGAGCTGCAGGCTGAAATTTGGTGTTTCGCTGCCGTCAATCAAAAATAATCATTCGCTACCTTTTATGTTTTTGACTGGCGGCAGTGAACAACCAATTTCACAACAAGCCGTTGAAATGTCCGAGTGTCCAGAATATCGAAAACCACAGTAAAAGTTTGATGCACTAAATTTTTGTTACTTTCCTTTCCTTTCTATGTTCAAAAGAAGAATAGTGGTGTCCTCATAGAAGATAAAATTGGCCGTTCCAATGTTGAGGAAAACACTGCGTCGTGTTTGCATTACAGTGCATTGTGGGGCTGTTCTAGGGGACGATATAGACGCCATATTAGAATTATGTCCCCTAAACAGTCTCGCAATGCATCGCAATGCCAACTCGGCTCAGTCAAGTTTTTTCCCTTGACCTCTGGACGGCTAATTAATAGTGTGGCGAAATTAATTAACATCCTTTTTGTCTCGTTAGCCTACGACTATCATCAAGTTCCTTACTGTAGTGCCCAAAGGAACTCTAGACAACCTTATATCCTTCTACTTGTACAACTGCAGCTCATCCCTCAGACAGTACACCAAGTATAATGAGCGACTGTTTGCTCCACTTAAGGTACGTATCATCATCCCATCTGAGTTGACCGCATTCCCTGAAAGGAATTATGGGTCAACTATTTTTGGTTAGCATTTTTGATGCATTCATCGAGTACAATGTAGATTTCTCTTGTCAAATGAAACGGAATTCTGGCTGGTGAATTCGACTAGGATTTAAGACCAATGTAAAATATTAAGAATTCATATTTCATGAGCTCTCTCGGCAGAATCATGGAAAATGCTAAACAAAATACAGTGTCGAATCCTCAATACCGAGTTTGTTTACCTTGTGTTCGTTCTGAAGGTCAACTTAGCTGTCTTGTGTGCTGCATTTGATTTGTGGTAATAATGGTTTGCTTAATGCTAGTGCACTGTCTCAGCTCTCAGCTCTCGAGTCTTGGGTTTGACTCCTGGATTCTGCATCTTATAAGAGTTTGTTAGCTGTTTACCTAGGCTCGGTTTCAGCTGTGGGGTTGTCGTTTGTTTCCAATTGCAAGCCGCACCCACAGGCGCACCGAAATCGAACCTAATGTCTACTGTATAACAATTCGATCTTCAAGTTAGCCGTGGCTCGACTTTGACAAAATTGGAAGTTTTTTCATCGTGGTCATAGATGTCATGCAACAGTTTTTAAAAAATTTATACTAGTCAAATCTTGCTGTATGCTTGGTGTTTAGCAATTTTTATGTGTGTATTTTTTTTAATCAGGGTCGATCGAGTGTTCGTGTGTGTGAGAGCCTTAGCAAAATCCATGAATACATTAAAGATGAGGAACTCAAATTACCAGGATCGACAACATCACTAGAAGAAGACCTCAAGGTAAGGTTTTATTCTAACTCTTCCTTATCTTCCCATTTAATATCATTTTATTATTTCATTTTCATCCTATTTCTTCAATCCAAAGACATCTTGTTGCCTTCCCATGGTATCTAATCTCAACCAGTTTATAGATATTATATATATATTCACCGAAGGAACGATATCCCCTTGTTTTTGTTGATAGGTGTGCACAGCTTTTCGTCTGTCTACCAGAAGTAATGTTCAGATCAAGGTAACGTCTAGCAACTCATTTGCTTTCTTTGTCTTCGTGTCTTTGAGGTCGTGGTTCAAGCTTCGGCCGGACCAACACACTTAGAGTCTTAAAATAACTGAGGAGAAGGTGTTGCCTTTGTAATTACATCTGCAAATGGTTAGACCTTCAAGTGGCTCGGATGACCACTTTAAAATGGCGGTCCCGTCTCTCCACACTTCACCATTACTAACCAATATCGGAGGGATTTAAAAAAACCACTGAGGACGTAAAGAAAAAATCTTGGTAGTGACCACCCTCAGTGCCTACACCTCGCACTAACCACCTTTCTTTCACATCACATTGTAAAGCGCCTGCGAACATATCCATATGGAAAAGAGCGCTATATAAATAAATATCATCATCTTCCATACACTGGTCCACATGTAGACCTAGTAAGTCGGTTTGTCGGTTAGTCATGTTGATCATTTAGTTGGCAAGTCAGTCGAGTTGATCCGTTAATCTGACTGTCTGTCTTACCATCGGTCGTGTCATCAGTCAGTCCAGTAGGTCGGATGGTCGGTTAGTCAGGGTGAACAGTTGATCGGTCATCATGTGAGTCTGTCAATCTTTTATGATTTTTGTCATCGTCAGGTTACAGGTTCTATACCTATTCATCAGTCTTTCACTCACCAAGTCACAACGAGTCTGTCCGTCCGTCCGTCTGTCTGTTTGTCAGTCAGTCTGTCTGTCTGTCTGTCTGTCCGTCTGTCTGTCTGTCTGTCTGTCTGTCTGTCTGTCTGTCTGTCAGTCTGTCAGTGAGTCTGACCATACATCCATCTGTATTTTGTTTAGGTTGGTCCCATGTCAGTTCAGATAACGACTCTTGAAAGACATAAAGTACTTGGTTACTCGACGATACTCAACGATGTCTACTACGCGTCAGAAGTCAAAGAGGTATAACGGCAAATCTTTCCTTGATGGAACTCAAAATTGTAAAAAAAAATATCCTAACATGATATTAATTGTGCAACAAGAAAATAACAGTTTTCATATTTTTCGCCATTTAAGCCAATTTGGATTTATTCTTAGGCACGAATTTTCATTTTTGTTTATGTCATCCATTATGGTGGCCATGGCTTTTGTCGTCTTTTTTTTGTTTTACGCCTCGACTAGCCGTGAACTTATGTATTTTAACACAATGACACTGCCTTAGTACGAGAAACGTATAAAAAAGACTTAGATTCCACTACTTCGTTTATACAATAATATTTTTTCCGGTTGTATTAAAATTACACAGTAAAAACTTACCACATTGATTCATTGATTCTCCAATGAAAACGCTTTATTTTGTTTTTAGGCAGTAGTTGAGGACGAGAACACATTTGTTCTCAAGTTCGTGAATGGCGGCCCCGGGATCCTGTTGATGAGCAACGAATGTGAGGAGATAGTACAAGCTGTCATGCACGTCAAAACAAGATGGCAGCTATCACAACCGGTAACCATACAAACTGTAGTAGAACTGCTTCTTGTCTAGTTCAGATGTTCGTTCGCCTTTAATGCATTTATTATTGCGTTCTTTCTTCGTGCGACCATTCATGCTTTCGTTTGTGTTTTAACAGAACAGTTTTCGTGTGAGTGGGAAACGWACGGTAACATTGAAATGGCTTCACATTGTTTTTCAGGATTTCATCCAATCACGGCTACGAATTTTGATGTATCRTTTCTCACTCGTACAAAAACCGCTCTAAATGATTCCTACTTGCTCGCGTGAATTCGTTCATTCGTTTATGCTTAGTCTTAATTACAAGTTACTTTGTGCAAAAAAAATGGAAAAACGAACTGTAAGGTTAAGGCAGATCATCCCTGGTTGTACCAGTTACTGTGATTTATGAAGGTTGAAAACTTTTTATTCACTTCTCAAGTTTTTGCACATCTTTCCCTCCCCTTTTTTCTCTGGTTGTCAGGACCTTTCAACGCTTTTTGGACGTGCCCTCAAAACCTGACCATTTTAGCCAAATAACTTGTATATATCCTGTATCAATAGGACGCCGCAACATCCACTAGCAAAAAGATCAAACCCAAAGACGTACCAGGAACACTTCTGAATATGGTAAGAACCGATGTCTTCTATTCCTTAGATACAAATTCTATTAGGCTTTGGCTGTTGTATCACAGCGTGGGACAATCACAACAGAGCTAGGCTCCAAACTAAGTGAAAGCCCAAAGATCGAATTAGAATTTAGAAATTGATTTTTGTGGAGGGAGAAAAACCCGCTAACCCGGCGAAAAACCCTCAAAGCACAGGAGAGAACCAACAAGCAATTGTACTCACATATAGCAGCCAGTCAGGTAATGGAACCCGGGTCGCAATGGTGAAAGGCGACGCTATAGCAGCACACGCCACCCATGCTTCCCACGATCACAGTTCCTTTGAATATCTTTTAACTGATGGGCCTTTTCTTGTAGGCCTTGCTCAACCTTGGCTCAAGGGATCCCAGCCTCCGTCTCGCTGCATATAACCTGYTGTGTGCTGTCACTAAAGCCTTTAATCTGAAAGTCGAAGAAAGATTACTGGAAGGAACAGGTAAGTGAATAGAAATGAGGAGGAAATGAAATATGGGATACTGATGACAATGAGTTGATGAAAGGATTCTTTATACACAAGGTGATAATTATCCAGAATTAACTTACTAGGTGTTTTGTTTTCCAGGTCTCTGTATTCCAGCCAATAACACTATTTTTATCGTGGGAATCAGTGAAAAACTTGCTGCAAGAGAACCCAAACTGACATTAGAGGTAATGAAACTGTTCATTCAATAATAAGAGTGATGGGGTAAGGCAACGTGCTCACCATGGCAGAACTCCCAGTATCAGCTTTAGTAAATATGCCTTAGTACCTCCTTCTCTAGGACAATTGCGTGTTTCTGAGCTCATGAATATTGAAAAATTCCCACCTGTCGACAAACGTAGCTTGTGAAGCTGTACGTAATATACTTAGATATAAACCAACGAATATTGTATGTCTTATCAAACTTCTAGGTTAGTTGTTTTTGTGTTTGATTCTAATTTTCAAGATAAAAGTGAATCTCACAGATAAAATACAAGTTAAAATTTATGCAAATCAGGACAATTTTATGTATGTACCATGCTCCTCGACGGGCATGATTTCTTTTGCGTTTTCCTAATGAATTATCAATGAGTTTGATATTTTCTTTGTCATATTGATTGTACTCAAACATGGCGGCCATCTTTTTGTCGTTTCATTCTTTTTGGATGGGATTGCAAACCATGGGTTGGTAATGAAACACAATCAAATGAATTATTCCCTATTATGTTGTAGTTCTTAGAAGAGTGCATMAATGGTTTCATGAAGTCCAATACTGAACTCAAACACCTGTGTCTGGAGTACATGGCGCCATGGCTACCCAACCTGACGCGGTTCTTGAAGTTCCCTTCTAAGGATGCGCAGAGAATCAAAATGAACAACATCCTCGAAGAACTTATTAACATCACTGTAACAGAACGAGGGGTAAATACCACAACAAGTTAATTACAGTATCAGTTAATTGAGGGGCAGTGGGAAGTCAATGCAGAACCTTTGTAACGGGGGGTTGTATGGTATTGATTCTGAAAGTAGCCGTGAATAGACTCCTTGCAGCAGGTCGGAATGCAGCTCAATTTGGAGGACATAACAATAGGTTTCCAATTCTCAGGAGATTGAAATTCTTTTTTTTTTGTCCTACAAATTGAGCTGCTTYGATGTCACATGCAAGGGGTCCATCGTGTTACTTTGGTATTGTCCAGGTATCTAAAATTTGACGAGGTACCTTTTTGACCACTTGACCGCGTGACTTGAGTAAAGTGAATTGACTGACGTGACTTGACTTGATGTGACTTGACGTGACATGACATAACTGGACATGAACTGAGTTGACGTGACTTGACTGGACTAAACGTGACTTGACTTGATGTGACTTGACAAGACACAACTGGACATGAACTGAGTTAACGTGACTTGACGTGACTTGGTCTGACTGATTGACTGACTGACTTATGGACTTGACTGCTGCTTGGTCATTCTTTCTGTCTRTTTATTGCATTGACTGGTTGCCTGGTTGCTGTCTTTTTTATTAGGCAATGAATCCATCAGTGCAAGCAAATATCTGGGGCATGATTGGTAAAGTCACCGAACTACTGGACACTGTACTAGACAGTTTTCTCAAAGTAAGTACAAGATATTTGACTAATCATTTAAAAGCCTGTCACGAGACCCCAGACACGTGACTCTCCGTAGAGTGAAAATTGAATCAGAGCTCTGAGCGCTCAGTTCAGTAATGCCAACGGTAAAGTAAAGAATGCACAACTTCCACAATACAAACACTTTGAAATTCCACGGACCTGATGCGAGGCTAAGCCCGAGTAAATGAGTCTGTAATCAAAGAACACAGCGGTAATTTTTGAACTCGAAAATGGTCTATTTTCTTATTTGGGGCTCCATTTTCACCGTGCAAGTCTCTCATCTCACGAACAAATCGTGTCTTCTATTCCAATAATGGTTCATTTTACACATTCCTAAAACAGTTGTACATCGTACAGTCTTTATGCTGTAAGTCAGTACCCTACTCATACTCATTGATATATGTTTTTTGTGTTCAGGCGAGTGCTGCTGGTGGTCTTGGGTCCATCAGAGCMGAAGTTCTTGCAGACACCGCTGCTGCTCTGGCTTCTGCAAACGTTAAAGTTGTATCRAGTAAAATTATAGGAAGACTTCATACGGTAAGGACTACATTTRCTTGACCAATATTGTTTAGAAGCTAGAGGCATGACAATAGCGAGAACAGCAGAAACTGAAACTACAACAATGATAATAGCAACAACAACAACAACAGCAGCAGCAGCAGCATTAGCTGAAGCTGAAAGAAGAACAGTAGAAACAACATAACAAAAAACTGCCAAAACTACCAGTGTATCAAGAGAAGTATCAACAATGACGAGAACAACAACAGGAGCAATGCCGTCTTTGTCATCTTTAACATCACAAGCATTGCGCTTTCCTTCTTATAATCTCTCGCTGTTAATGCCATGTTTACATTTCAATACCGTCTCTGGTTTCTTCTGAACTGACTTTCACCAACATTAGAGTCTACCCTTGTCTTTATTGTCTTTATCGCATTTTTGTTTTGATTTGCAGCTGGTTAGCAAGACTTTTATTTCCCCAACTCTCCGTCTGGAGCAGCACTTGATGTGGGATGACATTGCTATCTTAACAAGATATCTTCTAATGCTCTCCTTTAACGATTGTCTGGACGGTACGTATGATTTTGAAGGAATAGAAAGTGCGCGCGCGTGCTGTGTGCTGTCATAAAGCACGCGGGGGTTAGGAGAACACGAGAGAAGTGTTAGGAGAAGCACGATGCGTAGCGGAGTGCTTCTCGACACTTCTCGAGTGTTCTGCCAAGCCCCAAGTGCTTTATGACTGCACACAGCACAGCAAGCAAGTTTTTTATTTCTTTTATAAAATACAAATTACAATAATAGATAGGAATGACGCAACGGAAAGTGCGCGCGCGTGCAATGTGCTCTCATAAAGCACGCGCTCCAAACCAATCAGAACGCGACATTCATAACAGTTATTTTATAATGAAGAAATAGAAAACGCGCGCGCGTGCTGTGTGCAGTTATAAAACACGCGGGGGTTGGCAGAACACAAGAGAAGTGTTAGAAGAAGCACGACGCGTAGCGGAAATTCATTCATTTCATGATGACGAAATAGAGTGTGCACTTGCTGTATGYACTCATCAAGCATGCGCCTCCAACCAACCAGAAAGGCCAATGTTTTTTAGAGTTCGATAGAAGATTGTACAAAGTAGTCGTGTTTCTATACTGGCAGTATCTCTGGGTTATCATAGCGTATTTTGACGTACTTATTATTGGTTTCGTTTCAGTGGCAAGTCACATTCCTTATTTATTCCATCTGATTACACTCCTCGTGTCCACTGGCCCACCAACCATACGAGCGTCAATTCATGGTCTCTTGATTAACATCATCCACTCCCTGTGTACATGTACCTGCATCAAGTTTAGCAGTAAGTCATNAGGAGTAAGGGAGAGTAAAGAGAACAGGAGAAAAGAATGGGAAGAATGGAAAGAAAGAAGGAGCTGAGARGGAAGGGAAGAATAAGAATGGTAGTTGAAACTTTAGCTCATAATGTTTGTATTCTAAAGCTGTTGTTTCCGTGCTTTTTTTTCCAGACGAAACACAAACACTTCTTCGCATGAGACTGGCTGAATTGTCTTCTCCAAAATTTTATCTTCTTTTCGGTAAGCAAATCCATTAACAATTTTTTAAAAATGGAAAAAGTCAGATTGGATTTCTTATGCCTATAAAGATCATGTCACACAGGGCATGGACACGGTACAGAATTGACGGCACCCTCATTGAGCCAATCGGATTGCGAGTTAATAGAAAATCACCCTCGTGTCGCAATTTCATGTTCACAGGATTAAGATTAATCATGATATCAATAGACCATTTTAGTTTTGGCATTATGTCATGTCATGTCACGATCACGTGTCATTCCCTAGAATACCATATCTTTGTTTAATGAATRCGAACGAGAAGACATATTTTGTGAAGATTTCATAAGTTCCATAAGTTGAGCGATTTTGTTTGGTTTCATAGGTATTTCTAAGATCAAGGCACCCGCTGTCAAGGCATTCAAAGCGACTCATCGCGGTCAGAGATTCTATCTACGAGAAAGTGAAGGGGAGATAATGAGTATGCCGGCGATGGAAACGGTAACAGACGTACTGCTTGAGATCATGGAGGTACGTCAGTCACYGAAGATACGTTTAAACTACATGGAGGATGTTGTTGATGTTGATGTACACTCTTTAATCAAAATGRCTCTGTATTTTTATATTTTCAGACGTGTATGAGAGACGTACCGGAGAGTACGTGGTTRAAGAAATGGACAGAGCTCGCAACAGAGTAAGTAAATTCCAAAGATTCCCCTGTCAAAACTTTTTTGGGGGAAAAAAGTGCATTTGACCAATAAATTAATAAGAAAAATGTTTTTGTCATTTAGCTTCGCCTTCCAATTCAATCCWGCTTTACAACCAAGAACTATAGTCGTACTTGGATGCATCAGTAAGGAGGCTGATGATACTATGGTTCAACGGATTCTACACGTCCTTATAGTAGTGAGTAGATGCCTTTTTTTATATGAATATGATGATGTCCTATACCTACACCTATACCTATAAATAAACCCACACCCATACTGACACCCATGCTCATATCCATACTCATACCCCTAGACTTATCCCTGCCACTGTCCTTATCCCTGCCCCTGCTCCTGCTCCTGTCCTACCCCTACCTTTTAACCCTGTACCTGTCCTACCCTTACCCTTATCCTACCCCAGTTCACACCCCTAGCTTTACCTCTACCCCCAGCCCTACCCCTGTCCTACCCTTACCCTTACTCCTRCCCCTRTCCTACCCTTACCCTTACCTCTGYGCCTATCCTACCCCTACCCCCACCCCTGTCCATACTCATACTCATACCCCTGTCCTATGCTTACCCATACCCATGCTTATTCCTATACATGTTTTTTTGCTGCTCAGGCCCTCAGTAACTACACAGACCTAGTGCTAATTGAATCAGCTGTCATGTGTCTCAATAGAGTTCAGGCCATACTAGGCAAGGTAATCTAACACATAAATTGATTCACACTCCATCTATGTATAAAAGCCACACCTTATGCCTCACTTTCTTGTTTTACTAGGAATCTAAATTCCACAAGGCATTCTTCTGGGTCGCAATAGCTGTCTTACAGGTAACTCTGCTAAGCCCATTTAATATGCAAGRCAAATTTTCGCATTACATGAACTGTGTTTTAAAACTCCTGACTCCAATAGGGAGTCTGCCCAACAACACAACGATGTCMAACATTGGATCRGCCGAGAGGTTGGGAAAAAGAATCATATTTTTTGTTTTAATTACTRATAATGTTGTTTTWTGTGTCCTAGTTATCAGAGCTCTCCTTGTACCCGTGTGGCCTGGCTTTATTAGAGCAGAGTCTCCTAACACTTGACTCACATGGAGCATTCGAAACACAATCGGTAAGATGAAYGTACATGTTAATTATCCCTTATTTTCAGCTACAACACGGGTCTGAGAAAACTTTGAAAGAATGAACGACTTGCGCTAAAAGGTCACGTGAATTTACCCCTGTTCATTGTGACACGAACGCTCGTTTTTAGGGATAGGGTCATGTGACATGTTATGGATGCAAGCTGTCCATTGWAGAACTTGACAGAACTTAAACTAGGCTCTTAACAGGCAATGCCTCCCTAAACTGCATGTGTAAGAKGAGTTTCAGAGTTAAAGGTTTAACTCAGGTGACGTTGAAGTTTGTTGTAATGGGTAGCATGGGTGGCGTTCGCGGCTAACGTGTCGTCTTTCACCRCTGTGAGTCCAACGGGTCGGGYCGCTGGTTCGAGCCCTGCGGTCGCCACATGTGAATTGAGTTGTTGTTCTCTCCTATRCTACGAGGGTTTTCTCCGGGTTCTCCGGTTTCCTCCCTCCGTAAAAATCAACATGTGAGTTGAGCRTTGTGTGCATGGAGTATTAAATGTAGTGGTAGTGCGTGTGAGCTAAAAGTGTCCCCAATTAGTGCGAAAGCGCTAGAGCGACTACACACTTAAATAAAAGGGATTTATTTATTTATCTAATGTGTGATCGACTGGGTGAGTGTGTCTTGAGAAAGACTGTTGTTGTTGGTGACTTACGTTTTGACAACCGGAGAGGAAGTCATCTTTAGAGTCCAGTGAGAAAACGAAAGGCAGTTGATGGTATTTATACTTCTAAGTTRAGTTTGTTTTATCAGTCTTTCTCTCCCTTGTCATGTGGGTTGCTCTGGTTTTCCTACCCCCATGAAAAAACATTGTACCGTATGTAGTGAAGTTGCAATAATCATACTTGTGGAAAGAAAACCTTCTCGGGGAATCATACTTTTGAGATATAAGTAATCTTATAATAATAAAATAAATGATAAATAAATAGATAAGAGAAATCTTTGTTTTAGATGCAAGAGGCACTGATGGCCGTCAGGAAAGAACCGTTACTAGAGTTCCACTGCAAACAGATGGACCATTTTGTGGGTGTCAGTTTCTATGGTAATTTCCACTTTGCTTTAATGGGGCATCTTGTCAAAGGTCAGTAAAGAATCTATTCATTTCATTTATTTTATTTTCCCTGAATGTATATGCTCTACAGAAAGATTTAACATTGCTGCATATTCGTTTGCCTTTTGTCTCTCTGTCTCTGCCTCTGTCTCTGTCTCTGTCTCATTCTCCGTCTCATTCTCCGTCTCATTCTCCGTCTCATTCTCCGTCTCATTCTCCGTCTCATTCTCCGTCTCATTCTCTGTCTCCGTCTTTGTCTCTGTTTAGTGTTATTCCACTGGGAAAAGCAATCGATTTTTTTTGTAAAAAAAGTAAAAGTGACACGAATGATGTAGCGGCTTTAGCTTTCCTTTCCTTTTACTCGCCCTTCCCTTAGTGACGTGATATTAAGTTACTCTGTTCTTCACCGTGTTTTTTCTTGTGTTAGTTTTTTTTATCTATGTCTGTCTCTCCTGTCATTTCTGTTCCTCTCTCTACTCTCTTTAGTCTATCTTGTCTCTCTGTCTGTCCTGTATGTCTGTGCATCTACCTACATAGYAATCTCATTGACCTTCTAATCACTGCCCACCTTGCTTTACACTTCCAGGTGTTTATCATCCGCAAGCAACAACAGCGGCTCGAGCAATCCGTATCCTGAACTTGATGTTGGACATCACTAGCAAGCACAAACARTGGTAAAGAATATCTTGCATTAACTTCACATCCATTCAACATAATATTCTCAGCTGACTTCCAACATTTTTTATTTTAGTAGRAACAAGTTTGCCGTGACCAAAGAAAACCTAGCATACCTTGCAGGTAAGGAAGGATTCGGGTGGGATTAATGCTTGGACACTGGGTGGTTTAGGTATTGGGTGAGAATGCTTGGACATTGGGTGGTTTAGGTATCGGGTGAGAATGCTTGGACACTGGGTGGTTTAGGTATCGGGTGAGAATGCTTGGACACTGGGTGGTTTAGGTATTGGGTGAGAATGCTTGGACACTGGGTGGTTTAGGTATTGGGTGAGAATGCTTGGACATTGGGTGGTTCAGGAATTGGGAATTAGCAGAGAGGTGTTAAAAAATGACTGTGATTTTAAAGAAAACATGTTTGATTTCTGTTAGATATTGGTTCATTTTAAAAATGTGGTCCGGTTTTCTTATTTACTTGTGTAATAGATTTTTTTATGAGGGGGGAGGGGGGATGGTTCTGATGTTTAAAAGTGGTGAGGTCAAAACAGGAACAACCACGCTGGTGGCTACAACCCTATTCTATAGCAGACTTTAGCATCCCGAATTTCTAAATTCGTTATCCCAAACCTTTTTGAAGCCTAGATAAAACAACGTTTAATTTATGGAAAACTTTTTAGAGAGGTTTTAAGTCACGCTTAACAGTAATCATTTGCAGGTGCATCACATTGATTATAAGTTCCAGTAAATCTGGCAACAAAATTGTTATATTTCTTGCACAACAGYAATACTATGTTGCGCACAGTAGATGCTCGAAAAGTTGGCGTGAGCAATACGAGTGAAAAACGTCTGCACATGCTCTGAATCYGTATCCAAATTAGTCRAGACGTATGTAAATTTGACTTTCAAACATGCGTGATAAATTGGACTTTACAAAATGCCAAAACTTAGTGTCCATGCTTGAAACTTAAGGCTAATTCTTTTATATTGTGTTTCTTAAAACAAACAAACATTTATTTTCTCACTCAAACTCTTCAAAATTCTTAGAAAACGTGCTAAAAAGCATGCATGCACAAACGTTTTTCTTTAGTGTCAGGAGCACCAAGTTGACTCCTGGTTTAAATTTATTGATGCCTCATCATTATTTGCTTATTCTTTGATTAGCCTTAATACCTGTATCAGAGGATATCCGTAGTAGACTGAAACCAGGCAATACCCCTGAGACACCAGAACCCATGCCTCTGGGACACGCCTCAAGGTCCAAGATAGAAATCACCCCAGGATCAACACTGTCGGTGGATAGTCGTGTGTCTATCGTTATTACTCCTTCGCAATCACCATTAGCTGATGAGGCACCTCCTGAGGGACAAGCTTTTGAATGGCCTTCAGAGTGCCAACATATGCTACTTGATCCTGGGATTGTTAACGACAACCACACACAGGCATTGTTGCTTACTACACTGGTAAGAATGAAGACAAAAATTAGAATGATTTCCATGTCTGAGAAAAATTGTCACTGTTAAAGACCATACGATTCACATGTCAAGCCGTCACACCCATCGGAAAATTAATACTATCCAATCAAAACTGCAAAAAGCACAGGATCTTGATTCCGATGAAGAGAGTGTTCGATTCTCCTGTAAGTTTGATTGAGAGAGCCCCTAATATATTTACCCGTATTGGTGGCTTAAAATCTCAATAACTTGGAAGTATACTGCATTGCTCATTTTGAAGCCAATCTGTGTCTCAGACATATGTATCTCTTTTGCAAACATTAGCAGTCGAAAAACGTTTGTTGTTATTGTGGCGATATTTGTTGACCTTCATGTATTTCATGTATCACATATTTGTCTGACTCTTTGATTGTGGTGTTTTATTCTCTGTTCAATCTAACTCCAGGTAATATTACTTGAGCACACAACTGGTGATCAAGAGGTACAATACTTGTATCAACTATTAGCTGAAGCAAGTCTTGTGTTTCCTAAAGTCTTTCCTGTTGTGTAAGTATTATTATGTGCTTTATTAGTGTTTTTTAGTTTTCTTTGGGAGGGTCAGTATCTGCAGCCACAACAACAACAGTAACAATTACAGCTGCAGCAGCAGCAGTAGCAGCAGCAACAATAACAGCAGATGCAGTAGCAAAAAAGGCCACAACAACATAAACAACCTTAACAACAGAACCCAGTTGTACAAAGTGTGGATATCGCTATCTGATGGATAAATCCTTATCCAGTGGATAAAGTCGATGCTGTTATCCAATAAATTTATCCACTGGATAGGATTTATCCGTAGGATAGGGCTATCCATGCTTCAAACAATTGGGCCCAGCAGCAACTTCAACAGCCACAACCACAACAACAACAGAAATAACCACAACCACAGTAACAATTATATTTCACAAACTCCGTTCGAAATATATGAGAAAACAATAGGTAGAATCCTGCCATTTGTGCTTCGGACCACATTTTAACGCACTCCA